CTCATTCTCTCCCTCTACTATCAGACACTCTCACCCAACCTTATTGGGTGAAGCTGCTCCAGATCTTGTCTGCTCCAGAGTTGATAAATTCCCCTCTGTGTCTCTTTCATTCTCTCCCTCGCTCTCTTTGGGTGTATTTATCAAAACTGGAGCAGATAGAATCTGAAGCTGTTGCCCGTGGCAACCAATCAGCTTTTCTCTTCAGTTTGCGCAGGTAAGATTTGAAAATTAAAATCTGATTAGTTGCAGTGCAAATCTTCTCCAGTTTTGATAAATTCCCCCCCAGAGTTCTCTCTGCCTCATGCTCCCCCTCTCTGTCTATCTCACTCACTCTACCTGTCTCAGTATTCACACACAGTGATTGTGTCAAATTCTGTAACCTTACAGGGAAACTGTTGTGCCCTTCTAGCAGTATTCCTGGCTTGTATCACATTCCTCCATCATCCCATCTGTATATTTTATTTTCTTACTTAGCCTGCCCTGCCCCCACCTTCCCTCTCATTCCTCTCCCACCTGCCTCATTCCTTTACATGTCTGTCTCATTTTACCAGCCTGTCTCCTGCTCTCCCTCCATGTCTCTTTACCTGAGTGCCCAGACACCCCTCCCCATTCTTCTCCCATCACTCCCCCCCTCCAGTAATGCCCCCTCACTCTTGTAATGTCTCCCTCCTCCCCACTCTGCCTGTGTTCCCCACTACGCCCCCCTCCTTCCTGTCTCTCCTTCCCCCCCTCTTTTGTCGCCCACCTCCCCCTCTTACAGTACCCTAACCCTCTCCACCAATCCGCTTCTCTCTCAGTCTCCCAGACCTGTCTCCCGCGCGGCATGCTGGGACGCGTAGTCACCTGCCTCCCTTCCCCTTTTGAGTCTGCCGCCGTCAGAACTGCAACTCCCGGCAGCCCCCGCGGCCGGCTTCTCTCAGCCCTTTCTGTGATTGGCTGCTGTGTGCAGAATGAATGAAATTGTACAGTATTGTGATATTAGAGGGGCTGCAGTGTTCCTGCTTCATAACCAGCAGCACCATGAACACAGCCCTGCACAACCCCCTCAAATCGTGAGTACATGTGTGTGGCATGACTTCATCCCATTCCCTGCCTGTGCGAGAGTGCATGTGTGCATGCATGACTTTTATGTCTGTGTGCAGAAGAGCATACTATGAAATACGTCTGTTTCCATGCTAAGATGTGACACATCATAATGCAAACACATTGTGCAATGGGCAATATGAGTCTATGACTACTTGCCAGCAGCCTCTGATTTTCAGGGACAATCCCAAGTTTAGCTGATTTGTCCCTGGATATGGAAGGGGGTCCTGGGATTCCGAAAGTGATCTCAAATCTGTGTGTTGGACTGAGATACTCTCATCTATTAATGTTCTCTCTGTATTGAAATGTTTCTAGAAGATCGGCCATTAAAAGGTACCCTATGCGCCCCCTTCCCAGTTTTAGTAAATGTCATCCATTCAGGTACATAGAGATTTTGGCTTCGGTGAGACGGCATGGCATAGGATGAGCCCAGACACAGCAAAGAGTTTCTGGAAACGATTAAAAATTTTTCCAACGCTGGATCAGCTGAAGGATCTAATAGCAACACGCTAAGGCACGTGTTCTGTGTGCTATTGAACACATATGCAGTGCACACACCTGACTGTCATTAGTCAGCACTTCTTGGTGTCTGCACTTCTTATATGTTGTGTATGTAAAGGTCACATGTAAGGAGGATCTGGGATTTGGGAGGGAGAGCAGCCTGTGTGTGTGTGTCTGTGTGTGGATCTGTCACTGCTGCCCCCCTCCCATATACTATAACCACCTGATTGTACTTGAACTCTGCAGCAATATGGTGCAAATAGAGGCTTAATGTTGACTGTGGGCATTGTTAGCACATACTGTCCTTAATTCCTTCTGCACATCTGGAGAGACTGGACCCCATGTGACCGTCCACTGGGCACCCTTTCATTTCTGCATTCCCTGTGACTCTCTTTGAGTGGCTCTTAACTGTCCAATAGTCTATCTAAAGTGGGCTTGCAACTATTATTATGTAGGGATGAGGTAACAGGCACCCACGTACCCCTCAGCGCAGCTCTCTAGGATGATCTGGCGCAACAGCAGTATGATTAAGTGCATGCAGAGGGGTTATGCATCCTGTGCATTGCCTTCTGATTGCTCGTTCTAGTAATCTTTTGATTGTAAAATGTTTATTTTGCTAAACCCCTTTCTGAGTTTTCCATTAGAATAAAATCTTTATATTATCATGCAAACGTTAGGGGAATATGCTTTTATTCTGATGCTCAAACATGCTAGACATAGCTGGGTTTTATTTTTTTATTAATGTAGCAGTCTTATTCTGCTCTTTGATTTTATTTGTTATATAGCAATGGGATAACAATATATTTTTGCAGTGTGTTCTATGCTGTAGATGTAACCTGTATAGAGAGCATATCGCGAACCGTCTGTGACCTGTCTGAGCCCGGAGACACACTTCTGTTTCCTACATAGCCATAGAAACTCAGCACCTACAACCTATGAGCCTATGGCTCTGGATTGCTGGAACTTGTAGTTCATCCAGGTCTGCATGTTATCCAAGTTTTACATACTGAATAGCATTTTTTAAAATGTATTCCCACACTCATTAAAATAATCTATCTAAGGTAGCCATAAGCTACAAGATTGTAGGATCAAATACCACTAATAATTTTATGAACCTTTTATGAACCTGAATTTTTAATATTAGAAGAGTTTTTAAATCTGAGTGACGAGTTTCTAAGATTGAAAAAGTCGCCATCATTTGAATGTGTTGTAATGATCGCTCTGTATATTGTCAATGAATGAAATGCTTTTGAAATGATCAGGAATTCAAAGGGAAAAAAAAATAAAGCTTGCAAATAAAAGATCCCCTTCACAGGAAGACAAATCAGATATAGTGATTACTTTAAAAATAGGAGAGAACTGCAGATGTTAGGAGACGCAACATCTTTAGAGAGTACCAAGGAACCTGTTTTGTATTGTTCAAATAGCTAAGTGGTTAAAGGTGCAGTCTACCCTGAAGTGATATTTCCATCATAGGTGGTATATGGCAGCTGAGCCAACCACTGGATTAATACATTTCTTTGGGGCTCCATCAGCGAGATCTTTTTATAGTGCAACATCACTTCCTTCCCAACCAAAAGTCTCTGTCTGGCTAAAACAGGGCTGTATCGGAGTGTTCCCACTTTGTCTACTGCATTTTGTATGGTATAAAATAAATTAGAAACCCAACAGAGAGGCTGCAATAACCTCACAGTTACTGCAGCAAGTGGTCTCCCTGGGAGACTATAATTTCTAAACATATAATTATAAAAACCTCAGAGCACTGGCACTGGGAGAGGAATCAGCAGCACTATGAGCCAATTAGACTGCTGCATTGCACATGCCTTGACAGTGAACACGCTAACCAATGGAGCAAAGTGACCGGAGTTTTGGCACCATTGTTGTTCAGTCACCAAGTTGGCATTTGTTGCTGCGGTGGAAGTCCAGGACCTGGGTGGGTGGTCTGGTAGGGGTGCCTGAGTCATAACATTGGCTGCAAAGGACTAAAAAACCTTTGGCAGACAATACATGTGTATGTACTTCAAATAAGAATTTAGCTGTTTTCCTGGAGTTCAGCAATAAAGGAAATATAGATGGGCACTACAGACCTTTGATTCTGAAAATATTAACTGCCTGGCTCTCCTACTGATTCAGTGGCTCCGTTCATTTCAAAGTCACTAACCCAAAACAAGTATGGAGATCAGGAGTTCAGACATCTCTGTATGCATGCTTGTTCCAGATCATGCAGAATGCATTAAAACCAGAGGCAGCCAGGTAGCTGGCAGGTTCAGAAAAAGTTCAGCAATAGCAGCCTACATGCTTTGTTTTAAGCGTAATTTAAGGTTAAAATCCATCACGTGTTCCATTTTTATAGTGCTTCCTCCACTAACAGTTGCACTTTGTGTCTTAATATGCAGTCCAATAGAGTCTGAACATCCTGTTCTGTGCACTCTAACCTAGCAGACCTGGTCAGGTTTTTCCACTTCTCTTCCTCAGCACCAGAAGTCTGTGTGAGGACACGGCGTACCATTTACTACCTTATAACAGCATAGAGCACTGAATAGGGGGGAGTGCATTTCCACTGAGGGATAACAATTTTTTTAAGGCATCTTCATGTACAAATTTGTGTGAGGACACTTGTGATGAAGGATATACTCAATACTCAAGTCTATGTGATGACACTTGTGATGACTGGTGTGCCATTTACTCCATTTATACCACCATAGAGCACTGAATAGGGAGAATAGGAAGTTAATTTTTTGACATTCACATCCCATTCACACTTGTGATGAGGGATGTACTTAATACTCAAGTCTGTGTGATGACACTTGTGATGAGGGGTGTGCCCATTACTCAGCTATGCCACCATAGAGCTCCAGAGTGGGAGAGCAGGAAGTGCATTTCCACTTAGAGAAAAGGGCAAGGTAAGGCATTTACAAGCAAAAATCAGTTAAAATGATAACATAAGTCAATAGAGGTTTATAAAGAGAAAAAAAGAAGGTGTGAGACTTCAGTTGGGCTTTAACCGCATCATCTACCCACCCCGTTAGTAAGCTATCAATATTCCTTCAGTCAGTAAGTAGTGAACTGAGGCAATGACTTGAGGACACCCCTTCATAGTGCCAGTAATTGGATATGCTTTCTGTGCCACACTTGTCTGTTCCTTTGATCAGTTTTTAGGAATACTTTTGTTTTTGAAAATGTTATATAGGTTTACAAGGCTTATCAGACTGTAGTCTAATGCTGTCTCCAGAGATCCACTGAACTTCTCATCTTCTACCAAAGACTTAAATATCAGTTTTGAGTGTCCTGATCCTTTAAGTAATGAGTAGTAATACTAGTAGATCAAATACCTAAGGAACAGAAAAAATGTAACAGTACTAGTATAAATACCACATTTGTAGTATTTATATTCTATGCACCTTATTAAATATTAGTGCGGGCTGCGATAGGGAAGCCAGATTTAGGGCAGCGCAAAAGGATCTCTTACGTGTGCTCTAAAGCTGGCCATACACCTATAGATTATCTGCAGGTTTTCTATGGTCAGATGGAAAAAGTGCAACAGATTCCTCCATCTACGCTAAACTGTGTGGATGGAGGAATCTCTCGCTGGACCAAGCTTCAGTATCTTGCTAGTCGGCCGCACTGGCTTTCAAAACACCTGAACAGTCTGATTGGATGCAGGCATTGTTCAGGTGTTTTGAGATCCAGCGGGGCCGACTAGCAAGATACTGAAGCTTGGCCCAGTGGGAAATTATTATTATACAGGATTTATATAGCGCCAACAGTTTGCACAGCGCTTTACAATATAGGGAAAACATTATAATTACAATACAATTCAAGACAAGATGGTAAGGAGGGCCCTGCCCCTGAGGGCTTACAATCTGAGGGCCCGTTCACACTAGATGCAGTGCGTTCTGGGCCCGATTCTGGCCAGAACGCACTGCCTCGCATTGCGACCGGCTCACTTTTTAGTGGGGCAGGAGGGGGCATGGCGGGCCATTCAAGTGAGTGGCACCGTAGCCACGCCCTCCATGCGCAATGCGATCGGCCGCACGAGATCGCAAGGCACATTATGCCTGCGATCAAAATAGTACTTGCGCACTGCATCTAGTGTGAACGGGCCCTAAGAGGTTTCCTCCATCCTCACAGTTTAGCGTAGATGGAGGAATCTGTTGCACTTTTTCCATCTGACCATAGAAAGTCTGCAGATAATCTATAGGCGTATGGCCAGCTTTACAGTAGTAGTAGTAGTTATAGTCAATTAAATATTGCTGTAATAGACAACCTTAAGAAACATATTCCAAGCTTAGATATATATGCAATACAACATGCCCTTTGATATCAGTTAGACCTAAGAAAGTGTTGATACATCACTAATATCAATGTCACTATGCTGAGACGGATTCACTAAATTATTAGCTGAATGATATTCAGAGAAAAGTTTACGTGTATGTTAGTTCAAGTCTGATGTGCTGGTCTGTATTTG